ACTAGTCCAGAATGTGAATGCAAAGTTTAGCTACCAGGAGACTTTGTATTTTTCTGTGAGTTAATAATGCACTATATTTATATAAGGATTTAAATGCTATTTTTTTATTATTACCAGGGTTTCACACATTCTGTCCCAAAAATATCAAATGCTAAGCCAAGATCATCCAACTTCTGCTGTCATAAGCAAATCAAACAAATTTACATTACATTTTTTGTATTTTCATAACTTATTTTCCCCATAATTTGAAGGGGAAGGGGGAAATTGCAATAATTATGGTTTCTTTTTTACTTTTTTTTAAAACAGTAAATAAATCCCAGAATAGTAGAGGACCAAGAGTAAAGATTTTGTAAAACAGAAGTTCATGTGAGACCACAGTCATGGACTCCAGCAGCACAATCCTATGCTTGTCTGCTCATAAGAAAGTCCTATTGAGTACAGTGAGACTTACTCACAAGTAAACATACATACAATAGGATTACAACCTAATTACAGCAGGGATCAATGACCAATGCTTGGTTTTTCTCTTGATCACTAGAATCAGTAACTTGTCTCACCCCATCTGCTCTATCATGCCACTTTAAACAATCATAGCTTCCCCCAAATAATCCTGAGAGTTTTAGTTTTTAAAGGGTGCTGAGAGTTGTTAAAAGATCCCTATTCACTGCTGAGAGCTAACACTCCCAGAGATCCCTGGGAATGAAGATTGATTGTTAAACCACTCTGTAAATTGTGGCTCTGCAAAGAGAACTGAGGTCTTCTAACAACTTTCAGTTTATAGCATTCATTGGGGGGAGCCATTATTATGTAAAGTGGAATGATACTGCTTTAAATATGTGGTGCAGATGAGGCCTTGGTTTCAGAGACTTCATTAGCCACTGCCTAATAGGTTTGAAATTTTCTCAGTTCAGCTGTAAAAAACACATCATTTACTGTTACATCTGAATAAGGCCATTTAGTTCAAGAAACACATTGTGATTTTTTAAAAACTAAACAGATAATAATGCTAGCTCTGCTAGCTATGTTTGTGTTCAAAAACAATTCCATAGATACTGATTTTCTACAGAACAGAAAACAATAATTTGTCTGATCAAGTGCTTGAAGACCATCTTCTTCCAACAGATGTCAGAAAGGAAGAGCTTTGTTGATGTTATCTAAGAAAGGAGGCTCTGCTCTTTTTCTCCCGAAGATATTACCATATTGATGACAGAGAAAATTCAGAGAACACAATAGCAGGAAAACAATAACCGCTCATAGGGCATTAGAGTAAATAGAACAAAGAGCAAATGGAAAGCTTTAAAACTGTTCCCTACTCATATTGATTTTATCAGATAATATCAGAGATAGTTACCACTCCACCAGGAACTTGAAAGATATACTCAAAATTATTAACAGGATTCCCTCCCCCCTTAAAGCTGCAATCCTATGCACACTTACTTGGTACTAAATCCCACTGAACTCAATGAGACTTACATCTGAGTAGGCATGGATAAGACTGTGTTTCCCATAGGACTCCGTGGGTCTCAGTTTTGAGATTTCATTAGTGTAAGCAACATTTACTTTATTTTATTTATTCCTACAGGATATCCCTAGCTTCCACATTATCGGAGAGCATGCTCAGTTGCAATTGCATCAATGGCCCATTTCATCTCACCATTCCTCAGTGAGACAAGGGCCTTGATAGGATTGCTGGTCCTGTCAACCAAAAAGCCACCCAAAGCATTCAGCAATCCCTCAGATTCCATACATTTTGGGAAGGAGAACCACACCTTAATGGGTTCCCCATTCCTACAGGGACAGCAAACTTGCCATTAGCCTAAAAATGCCCAGGAACTGCTTTTCCCACAATTCCATACAAATTTCTTTTAAATGTAAAGATCAAATTGAGGGCACATCTGGCACTATTTAGACAGCCTCGCAGTTGTCATGGAAACTATGAAGTCCAGGGCCTGTCCTGTCAAGGCAGCCTCAGCTTGAATGCTGAAGTCCTCAAGAACAACAGTCACCAATTTTCTCTCACCACCTTTGGCAACCCAGAAATAGAGACTTCTGGGTAACAATGTAGGCACTGCTCAAGTATAATTTGCCATTCTTTCTCTCAGGCCCAATGTTGGTTGTAAGTCCCTGAATTCTGCATTGGAACTGGAGGGTCTCCTAGCAAGGAGATGGTATCCTTATGGACCACTCCCACCTCTTCCTGGTTTAGGCTGGTACTTCACTCTATACCTAGGTGGACAGATGTGGGTCAGGCCAGTCTCCTTCAGCTTCTCCACCTATGCCCCTGTGACACAGACCAGGTCAGCCCCCTCTGATGTTTCATTCTTGTCCAACCTGGGCAGACCAGAAGCCTGGGTGACAGAGTAATTTAGACCTCCTTGTGATGAGGAAGGGTTGCTCAAGGCAACAATTTCTAGCTAATTACCAAACTGTCTTCTGCATGCATATTCCCATTATTTCAGCTTTCAGCTATAACTGCAACTCTAAAGATCATCCTCACTGCCCAATAGCAACCTAAACACAGTATTTTCTGCCAAATCTATGTTAACAGAGAAAACGAAAAGCATTCCAACAGTGCTCCCCCACAAACATTCACATCCTTTTATCTAAGCTTTTAAATAAATCATTGGACAAATCAATGTTCTTATGCAGGAACTTTTTATTTTCATTTTTTTGCATGTCTCTTTCCAGCTAGGCACTGAGTTGGAAACATCTTCCGGAATCACACTTTCATTGGCATTTAGATGCACCACGTTGGTTTCACATCAAAAATATGATAAATAAGTAGAATAACTGCTGTTCCTATGTATTAGCTGGGCTTTTTTAAAAAATAAAATCAAATCCTGGGAGTGACACAAAAACTTCTGGAATGCAAATAAAGGTCTTTTGTTGAGCAGGCTGATACTTATATATGGAACACCACAAGAAAGGATACTTTGGGAGCTTTTATTTATTTATTTCATTCTCTAGACTGAAACAAATGCAATTTCCTGAGGTCACTCTGTCCATGAAGCCTTCGTTGGAGGTCCACAATCTCTCTATGTAAATTGGATCCTCATCTTCATTATGTATTAGTTAGTGGAGATTCGTAATTATATCCTTCCCACTTCTAGCATTTCTCCTCTGGGACGTACAGCAGCAACCAAACTTCATTGCTCGCTTGGCAATCCAACAAAGGAATCTTAGAGCAACACTTCATTTTCTTTTATTGGTACTGACATTGGTATAATGAGTCCAGTGATTTCCCCCTCCTTACTTCTTAATTTCATTTTCATGCTGTCCCCCATGCTTGCTGTGATATGTTTTCCAAGGGAGGGACCGGAGGGATTCAGCCAACTCATTCAGCATCCATTATCACAACTGAAGTTTTGCGCGGGGTTGCTCTTTGTATTAAATTCATTTGGCTTGTAGCAGGCACTGTGATGAGATTTTGTTCCAGTTAAAAATCACTGCTGCATGCAAGTGTCTTTATTAGAGCTGGAAGCTAATAGCTCCAGCTTTCCCTGCATGCCTGTTGGGCTCTGTCTCAGCCTTGCATCATTAGCTTCTTCTTTTTTAGCCATTTTTTTTTTGCCTTCCTGACTTCACAGTGATCACCGGCAAATTCATTGTCTGTGGTGTTCCACCTGCTGGGACTATTTGGAACCTCAGCGAGAGCTGAATCTGGTGACTTGGAGTTATGTCTTATGGTTTCCACATGCCACTTTTTCAGCCACTGATTATTTCCACCTCTGTGAAGCCCTGGCTTCTTCATTGTCCAAGGGGTTGCTTTCAGGCCATTTTGCCGGCTCTTATGAGTGGGCAAGGATTGTTAATGTTTCCCTGCTCCATTTACTTTTGATATTAACCCCTGTTTGTGGTTTTGCTATTAATTCCTTGAAATCATATTTGTTTCATAATGTATTCATTGAACTCGCATTTGGTTCATTGTTCCCACTGGGCTTCATTTTCCTTTTAAGCATTATTTTCTTTTCCTGCTGATTTTGGGTGATGGCAGAAACGGAGTGCATTTCTGTGGCCATTTCTGGAGGTGCCATTTCATTTACTCAGACAGCCCCAGTTGTCATGTTGTTCCAGGGCACCCTGGGAAGCTCCCAGTGAGAGTGGGGTGGGGCATATACCTGGTTTGCAGGTGGCCAGTGTCTCCCTTGAATGTGCAGTTTAGCCGAAGGGTTGACCAAACTAGTACCCTTCATATATTTGCTTGTTTCTTGAATTTATTTCCCACCCTTCCTTCTGAAGGAGCCTAGGGTAGCAAACACATACATTTCTTCTTTTTTTAATGCTGGACTCCAACTCTCATCAGCCTCAATCTTTAGGGGTGATAGGAGATGTAGTTCAGCAATATCTGGCAAACCACAAATTAGCCACCCCCTCCTTTAGGGCTTAGCTCTACTAGAGCTGCTGCCGTTATGCAATATAAATCTTTAAACTGTTATTTTTTAAAGGCCAGTGGTTTAAAAGCATTAACATTTTTGCCGTTTGAGGTAGGTCCATAAAAACAGCTCTATTGTTTTAAACTTTCTCTCCTGTTGGCATAGTTTGCAAAACAGTTCCCATAATCGGTCTTGCATGCCTTTAGCAATAGTTCCCATTTTATATGCAAAACATTATGATCTTATACCTATATAAATAACATACTAAAACTTAACTTGATTCCTCAGGCAGAAAATTCCACCTTTGCATGGCATATTCCCTTCATTCTTTGGAAATGAAATGAAATTACATGAAACGAAACACAAATACTGAAGGTGTTTCAAACAAGACATGACACACATTCTTTGATTACTTGTCTGCCCACTACCCTTCCTTAAATCTGAGAATTGAGTTCAATTAATTTGGCAAAGAACAGACCTGATTAGAGAGGGAAGATAATGGGGGCAACCCAGTGCATAGTTACATGGTTTCGACTCCCATTGATTTCAAGGGTCTTTAGGTTGCTTAACTATGAGATGCATAGCCCATGTGCTTCAGATGACGTATATATAAGTTATATAAGAAGTGGATGTGAGGGCGATCTGGCTGCGACATCTGTCACCCCATTGATCGCCAGGGTTGATTCGGCTGATCTGGATGGCTAGGCGGGTGTCCCCTTCCTCCCTCACCGCTCCATGTGCACCCCTCCCGAAGCTGCGTGCTCGGTGGAAGAGGACAACCATCCGAGATAGAAGGAGTGTACCGTTCTTTGGTCAAGGGTATACGATAGCTGTGCTCCCCTGCTAGAACCTCCAAACAAGCTCAAGTTATATAAGAAGAAGACCATGGCGATGCTTCCCCTCCCCGAGGTATAACCTTTGCTTTGCTCAATCAATTAGCAGAAGGTTCGCCTGCGAAGGAGTTGGTGTGGCACCACATTTGTGAGGTAGACAGCTTTCTCCCTTAATCCATTTGTGACTTAAAAGATTTGTGATCGCACTTTTACATGACCCAGGGTGAGCCTTCTTTAACTGATTTCCTGAAGGAGTAATTAAAAGAAAATGATTTGCTATTCTTTTCTCAGGCTGGAGTTTACCCTAAGTCCCAGAGGTGACGTGAATAAAAGGCTTGGGGGAAAGCCATAGCTAAAAATAATACAAAGTCACACATTTCCTTTATTGTTATGGGTATTTAATTTTATGGAGTGGAATTTTGAAGGACTCCAGTTGAACTCATTCAGACCCCATTAGAACAGAACATAATTTCCACTCCAAGGTGAATTCACCTTCTTTCCTTCTCTGTCTCCTGACCTTTACACTTCACATGAGGTCAGTTCTTGTACAGGAAATACTGATTTTGATTACAGTATTATTCCTATGATGGTAACTTTGCACTGAGTTCCAAAAGGCACTGCTGATAGAATATTTGCAATGCAATAGATAGTGATTCTAGGTTATTATTATTTTTAAAGCATTCTTCCCATTTAGGTAGCTGATGAACATCGTTTGCTAGTTTTCCTTCCATGGAAAGACATAACTGGAGTTCCTGTGTATACTTGCATGCGTTATTTCCGTCTTTCTTACTCCCAAATCTGACTGAACTCTATTATCTGGGGAGAAATGTTTGGAGCTGGATCACAGTTCAGGAAACAGGAACTGGCTTTTGATGAAAGACTTCCCTTTTCTCCTCCAAAATACCTCTGGGGCCTTCACAATTGATTAGTGTAATAGGAACATAACATTCCACTGACGTACAATGGAGAGCTATGGCAAGCTTTAAACATGGAACAAAAACCTGGCAACCAGAAAGGTAATAAATTACCTGTGATATAGTTTCTTTGATTAATCTTTAATCAAAGAGCTACCAAGGTAATCACTTTGCTCTATTGTAATGCTTGATGATTACTTCCCCATGCATGAGTCAAAACACTCTTGACTCAGTAATCATTGTGACTTTTTGGCACCTTCTTTGTTGCAGTACAGCGTGAGATGAAATGTGCTGTAATTTTTATGATGGGCATACCTTCATGTCCTGCAACTTTATAAAATTTCTCAAAATGCAATTAATGTCACCCGACCTTGCTAGCTTTCAATGGATGCATAGTAGAAATATTTGCAATTAATATTATTTAATGAAAGTAGGCAATTGTACCTAGCATTTTCAATGCAGCTGAGTGATGCAGTTGATTAAGAGTAGTTAAAAATAATAACTCTCTAAGTTTCATATGAGAGTTGCTGTTTTCAGTCCTATTTCAATACTGTCATAGCTGAACTGATGTTTGCACTACTAAACCATTAAAGTTAAGATCTCTCATTGTGCAATCACAGGTGTTTGTATTCTGTAAGGTCTTCATGGGGCCCAAAGAAGCCCCCCTCCTTTCCTTTGGACGTGTATATATTGGCTTTCATTCAACCGTTTCTCTCCAGCTATGGCGTGGCCAAGAATTTATTTTGGACTTTAAGTAAATTGCAAGCTGGAGTCTGGGGTTGACTAGGGAAGGCTGAAAGGAAAAACAGGAAGCACATGGTTTTCCATTTGGGGCAATGGTCAAGAGTCAAGGTTGGACAGGGAGAAAATGAGAGGGATCCAATTGGGGTAGATGAGCAATTTTAGTCAATGATGTACTTTTATATGTCTTTTTAAACATATTTGTATGTTTTTATCATGTAAGTTGCTTATAGACATCCTATGAAGTAAGTGGTGAGTTCTAGTACTAATTTAGCCACCAGTACTAATTTATCCCTATGATCAACCATCCTCATAAACGTGACTGTGTTCATATCTGGAAAAACTGTACCCTAATTCTTGAACAGGGGTTTAGGTAGAGATGAAATTGAGGACCAATATTCCAGTCCTCTAGCATATAGTATCCAGATTTCTAGAGATCTCTTATGTGTTTTAAACGTGATGCATTGGAGGTTGGAGATGGTGACACCTCCTGCTACATAGCTGAATATCTCTCTGACATGAAAACACAAAAAAGCCTTCTGGATAAGCCGAATGGCCCATCCAGTCCAGTATCCTGTTCTCACAGTGGCCAACCAGATGCCTGTGAAAAGCCCATAAGCAAGACCTGAGTACAAGAGCACTCTACCCCCACCATCTTGTAGTTTGAGCAGAGTCAGAGAGAGTGAAAGAAAGTTGAAGGTGCATTGAAGATGCAGGGCCTCTCTTTGGGTATTTGATGTGGCATAGCAGACCTGTTGCCTTTAGGGGTGTATGTTGTTTGACTCCACTTACCCACAACTTGTATGTTTGTAAGCACTGCTATTTTTCTATAATAATAAAAATAGGTGCCAGAACTCTCCATGAACACCTCCATTGTTCTCTTAGATTGGCAATGATACCCACCTGAGAGGTGCCGGAACTCAGTTCCGGTGAGTTCTGGCTGAAAAAAGTTCTGTTTGTAAGTATTGTAAACACACCATAAGTCTCCAATGATCCCTCATCTATAAGAAACCAATCCTAGGAAGCAGTGCCTCTGGAACTTCTCACTGCTCATAGAAGTGGGAAATATGCAAAAATAGCAATGACAATTAATAATTGGGATAGGAAGGGGAGGAGTAGAGTTAAGACTTGAGGCATGGTTGTGAGAACAAATCTTTTGTACAGCATAGGGGCCAATTACACTGGACATAGCAGTTTATGGGAAAAGCTTGTAGTGAATAATATACTTACAAATGGATGTGAAAACCATTGAGCCTCATTTAGTTCTTGCTACATGATCAGTCATCTTAATTATCTATTATCAAGCTGAAATATTATGCTGTATGATTTTTGTAAGGCAAGGTTGTTCATTTAAATGTGGATAACGGTAGAAAATTGCAACCCATATGCATCATTATGATGCTGATCATTAAATGTACCTCATTATTTTCTACCTCGGGATGAAAATGTCATCATCTTTCTAGAATTAAACAGAGGAGTGAAACAGCCACAGTTTAAAGGAAAAATAGACACAGCCCTCTCCACTTCTGTAATAGCATTGTGCTGCAGGACACAGGAAATCCAAATCCAGATTTTGATGAAAGATAGAAAGCTAGAAAACAACAGCAGAATGGCTATTAACTAAACATATGGAAGAGTTATGGCAGGATGAGCACACAGGATGAGACAAATAAAAATATTGGCATGGCTGAATTATATGATTATTTTATAACAGTATTGCAAGTTATGCGATTTGCCTGTGTTAGTCTTAAAATGACAGGATGCAATTTGGGGTGTTTGCCATGTTCTCAGAGATGGCTTTAAGTTTTATGAATGGGGAAACTTTCAAATAAATCTGGGTTGTGAGATGGGTAACCAGTCTTGTTGTATAGTGAGAAGTGTTATACAGTGGTACCTCGCAAGATGAATGCCTCACAAGACGAAAAAACCGCAAGACGAAGAGACTCGCGGAACGGATTAATTTCGTCTTGCAAGGCACCACTGTAGTTTAATGCTTAGCATGACAGTGTAGGAGTGAGGAGGCCCAGGTTTAAATGATGGGGAGATGTTCTAGGGCACAAGTGGGCAACTTTAAGAGCATAAGGCAGTCTTCCTCAACCTCAGCCCTCCAGATGTTTTTGGCCTACAACTCCCATGATCCCTAGCTAGCAGGTCCAGTGGTCAGGGATGATGGGAATTGTAGTCTCAAAACATCTGGAGGGCCAAGGTTGAGGAAGCATGGCATTAGAAGAGCCCTGCTATATAAGGCCAATGGCTATCTCTCAGTGGCCAATGAGATGCCTATAGGAATGCCTATGGGCAGGACCTCCAATCCCCAGGAAGAAAGGCAGCAAAAGTGGAAGAGAGGGAAGGAAAGAAGCAAGCAGGTGGTCTCACCAACTGTTGGCTTCCCCCTTCCCCTTTTCACATCATTACTTCACATCTTCTGCTGCATTGTCACATCTTCTTTACATTGTGTAAACTATTGGAGTATTTATACACAGCTACAGAGCTTTCCTCACATATCTGTGAATCCCTTTTCATTGAATTGTAAAATTGCAAAGTAGGAAGGCATCTTGCAGATCATTTACTCCAACCTCCTGTTCAATGGCCCCTGGAAGATAACTAAGAATGTACTTTACAGGGATCTGGTATTTGCATGAAACTCCACTTCCCCATTTCTTAACCACCCTTCTTCAAATATTTAATATACTATGGGTGGTATCCAGTAGACTCAATGAAATCAGTTTCTTAACTTCCTTGATTTCAGTGAGTCTACTGGGAGTATGACTAACATTTGATATCACCCAGTGTCTTATGTGACAGGTTGTATTTATCTATACTATATCAGCTGCATGCCTGAAAACATCTCGCTATTTACAGTTGTCAAAACAGTTGCCCTTGTTTGTGTTGCTATCAGATCTCTGTTCAATCATGGTATACACTGGGTGGCTTTGAACCAATCACAGTGATTTCACAGGGTTGTTTGACGATGGAACAAGTAGTGGGTGGAGAGACCATGTATACTGCCTTGAGCTCGTTGGAGGAATGCTAAGATCAGGGCTTTTTTCCAGCCGGAACTCACCAAAATGCAGTTGTGACACCTTTTTGGTGGGCAGGCCACACCCATCATCATTCCTGTCCCATGCCCTTCCTGACTACTTTTGTCTGGCTGGAATGTGCTCTTCGGCTGTGATAACAATGTCTCTTGCTTGTCTGAATGTGGAGCTATTGTGAGGTGTATGTGTTTGGAAATCTTCAACTCTAGTGTGGCTGGACAAGCTTAGTTTGCAAAGACAGGAGGCACACCCCCCCAACTGCACCCACCACTGGCATGTGTCAGCATGCAAGGGGCTGGGAGGCCAGCTGACTAGCCCCAGCTGAGCCGTTCCCTTCCAGTCATCCTGCTACGAAGACCATCGGCCTCTGTCCAACGTAAATCAGCGACCCAGGCTTCAAAGCCAGGGCACACTGTCAGCA